AAGGATCCAGACTAGATCATAGCCATGCAAGAGGAGCTAAATCAGTTTGAGAGAAGAAAGGTCTAGAACCTGGTAAAGAAACCCAAGAAAAACAATTGTCATAGGTACCAAATGGGTGCTCAGAAACAAGTTGGATGAACAAGAAAATATCACAAGGAACAAGGCCAGACCGATAGTTCAGGTATACAATCAAAATGAGGGCATTGACTATGATGAGACATTTGCACCTGTAGATAGAATGGAGGCTATAAAAATGCTGATAACCTTTGCTGTCCACATGGAGTTCACTTTATACCAGATGGATGTAAAGAGTGCCTTTTGGAATGGTTACCTGAAGGAGGAAGTGTTTGTCAAACAACCTCCTGGATTTGAAAGTGAAAAATTTCCTGACTATGTGTTCAAACTTGATAAAGCTTTTTATGCACTGGATCAGGCTCCAAGAGATTGTATGAAAGGCTCTCAAAATTCCTCTTAGCCAACAACTTTGTAAGAGAAAAGTTGGACAAAACTCTATTTCTAAGGAGCAGAGTGAAGAATATTTTAATTGTGCTAGTGTATATGGATGACATTATTTTTGGGGCCACCATGAAGTAATGTGCAAGGAATTTGCTAAGATAATGGGAAATGAGTTCGAAATGAGCATGATGGTTGAATTGAACTTCTTTCTGGGGCTGCAAATCAAGCAAACACCTACTGGAACCATGATATATCAGCAGAAATATATCAAAGAATTACTGAAGAAGTTCAACATGGACTCCTCTAAGTCTATTGATACCCCTGTTGCCATTGCAACAAAGCTGGACCTTGATGAAGAAGAGAAAAGTGTGGAACAGAAACTATATAGAGGAATGATTGGGTCATTGTTGTACATCACAGCAAGCATGCCTGATATAGTGTTTAGTGTGGGATTACGTGTAAGATTTCAATCAAATCCCAAGGAATCTCACCTGAAAGCTGTCAAAAGGATACTAAGATATCTCAAGAGGGCCCTTAACCCTTGTATATGGTATACCATTGGGTATAGCTTTGATCTAGTTGGTTATGTTGATGCTGACTATGCAGGTTTTCATGTTGACATGAAAAGCACTTCAAGAACAGCTCATTTTCTAGGTTCTTGTCTGGTGTCTTAGGGAACCAAGAAGAAAAACTCAGTGGCCTTATCTACAACTGGGGCTGAATATGTGGCAGCAGCATCCTGCTGTGCTCAATTACTATGGATAAGATAACAGCTAATGGACTATGGTATATTTGTTGATTGTGTTCCTATTTTCTGTGATAACGCCAGTGCTATAAACATTGCTAAAAATCCATGTCAGCACAAGAGAACCAAGCACATTGACATTAGACATCACTTTCTCAAAGACAACGTTGAAAAGGGGAATATCTCAATTAACTTTTATAAAACTGAAGATCAAATTACTGATATTTTTACTAAAGCTCTAAGCAGGGATCACTTTAAAAGGAATAGACTAGAACTAGGTCTAATCAACTCCTCGCACTAAGTTGACTCCCAGTGATTGGTTAGAAAAGGCATAATAAGATGTAGATAATTAAGTACAATGTGTTTGATTCAGCTTTGTGCTTGTATTAAGCTCACACACTTGCTTAGAAAATTTGGTTGATAACTGTGTTGCATGATACTAATATGAAGCGTTGAAGCTTTATTGCAGAAAAATAAGGAGTTGCTAAGGAGTTGGTTCTTTGACTCGGATATGTGGCATACTGTCTGAAGTCACTAGGACTTTATATTCTAAAATTATTGCTATACTCAAACTTTTAATTCCATTGGCATCACTTTTAATCGTCTTCTAGTCAAAGAGTAAGGGGGAATCCTTGTGCAATTAGAGATCAATTACTCATGAAAACCTTACAGTCAAAGTAACCGTTATAAGAGTCTTGTTAGAACTCAAATTCGGTCACCTTCTCTCTTCTAGTCAAATCAGGAGTAACGCCTTTTAAAAGGCTCTTATGATCAGCTTCTCTAACCTTACTCTTTCCCTCAAACCCTAAGCAAGAATCGTAAGCAATTATCAAGAACTAACCTTTTTTTCTCTTCTTCGAGTCTCTCATCTAATCACCATGCCTAAAGCCAGTCAAACACCCTCTAAAGCTAAATCATCAACCAAGGTTGAAGCAAAACCTAAAATCTTGAAGCCCAAATCGAAGAAAAATACCAAGCCTTCAAGAGAACCCACACCTACACCTGCTCTTTATCCTTCATTATCCTCCACTATACCTACCACATCCTCCCGTGTTCCTATTGTTCATGTTGTTCCTATCATTCCCACATCCAATGTAACCCCTCCTCCACAAATAACTACACATGTACCTGAACATCCTGCGAAAAATACCTCTAAGTCAACAAAGGTCAAAGCAACTCCAAGAAAATTTGTCAAGAAAGTGCCTGAAGCTTCTACGCAGGGTGACATTGTAGCCAAGGGATCTGTGATTCAGTGGGAATCAGTGTCAGTCACTACTGATCAGGTACCACATCCTACTTCCAAGTTAGATATTTTGGTGTTTGTTATAGATGTTGCACTCCTAGATACTCTCCCACCCACGAGTAAGAATCCACCAGTGGAGAAATTTCCTGTAGAAAAGGGTGCAGGGGATCTGGGAAAGGAGATAGATCCAAAGACTGTGGAGCCTGTGGTTGAGGGGGAAGGACGTAAAGAACTGGTGCAAAAGGAGGTTTCTAATGGCCTTGATTTTAGTTGGACTGGAGATGAGGAAGATGATGAAGGTGAAAAAGAAGAAGAAGCTGAGAACAGTCATGAGGAGCATGATGCTCAAAACATAGCCAATGAAGAAGAAAAGAGTGAGAATGAGGGAGTATCTGGAGATGAGAAGGAGAGTGATACATAGGATAAGACAGGTGAACAGGCTAATGATTCGGCAGAAGAAGAAAATCAGAGTGAAGAAGAGGAGGTTTCTAAAAGTGAGGGTGAGGATCAAGAAAATATAAGTGAGAGTGAAAGAGGTGATGATAAGAGTGAGGAAGAATAGGGGAATGTGAGTGAGGAATCTGAAGATTCTGTGACAATTGGAAACACTGTCATAGCCCCTTCAGAAGAAATTGGTGAAGAGACAAGGGCTCAAGAACCTGGGTCTCTGTTAACTCCTTTCACTGGAGATGAAGAAGTTAGCAGGGATGAAGATAATATGTCACTATCTGAGGTAGGGAAGAAGTCCAGGAAGACGACTGTAAAAGCTACAAAGTCAGCAGTCTCAACAAGGAAAGGAGTGGTTCCTCCTACTAGAACTCCCTCACAAGGAGTAAAAGAAAGGTTGTTGATGCACAAATCATGAAGGAGTCCAGAAGTGCAAAGAAGCCAAATAAGAAGGTTTCAATTGTGGAACATGTTGTTAAGGTGGATGGAGAAGATGAATCTGACTCTGCCTTGCCAGCAAAGTCGGCTACACCAAAGAAAAAGGGAGCCAAAGTCACCAAACTTGCTACCTCTTCTGCAAGGTCCAGTAGGGGTAAGACAAGAAAGAATGTGCCAATTTTAGTTGATTCAGTCATAGAGTTCAGGAATAGAAAAGTGCTAAATGGGATGATTCTTGCGAACACTGATGAGAAGGGGATGGCTCAACTGGTTGAGAAACTTGAGCTACAGGGGTGGAAGCACATGTTTCTCAAAGCTTCCCCTCCCCCTCCCCCTCCCCCCCAGTATGTGTTCCTGATGTGGTGGAGTTTTATACAAATTTCACATTTTATGGGAAGGTAGTCAAGAGTAAGGTAAGGGGCTTTGACATGGAGTTTGATGTTGAGGAGCTGGGGCTGCTTCTGAATATCCCTTCTTTGAGATTTGACAATTACTTGAAGAATAAATGGCCATCCATAGACAATGATGTTGACACTGGCATTGTGGTCATCAGGAAGTTCTCTCAAAAGTTTGAACTAGATGCTCCCCAGAAAGTGTACAAGACTGATATGACTCCCTTTCACAACTTGTTGTTTCATTTTGTCAACTCCTGCATTCTTCAGAGGTCTGAGATAAGGCATGAAGCTACTTTACTAGACATGGATGTGATGGAACTGCTTGACACTAGTCGACCTATCAATATTCCTAGCCTGATGATTCAGCACATGGCAAGAGCTACAGATACTTCCAAACCAAAGCATGATATGTCATATGGTTTCATGTTGACTGAGTTATTTGACAAGCTCAACATTGCCTTACCTGAGCTTAAGTTTGGAAATCGCAATGATGTTTTGGATGTTGTTACCCTCAAGCGATGTGGCTATGAAGAGATCAAGGCTAGAGGACCCACAAGATCTGTCATTCTGCCTGGGAGCAGTAGAGTTGTAGAATTTAGCAAAAGGTTGGAGTTGGCTGTTAAAGAGAATGCCAAGCTTAGTGAAGTAAATAATGACCTAAGAACGGAAACAAAGAAATTCAGGGAAGAGCTCATAAGAGACAGGGAGGCCCATGCTCAACAGATTGCTACCCTTGTGAAAGCTTTGACCCCCTCTGTTTCTCACTCTTGAACCTGTTCCTTCCTAGTGTCCTTAGTTCTTTTGCTATTCTAGTGATGCCTTATCTTTTGTTCCTTTTGTCTTAGTCTGAGTAGTTTGCAGTATGCTTAGTTTATTTTATTCTAATGATGAAGACAAGGCCCTAGACTTCTTTTGGCACTACTTAATGTCTCCTATTGCTCTGCTTTACTACTTTGTACTCTATTGGATCATCAGCCTAGTTTATTTGCCCTTTCTTATGCTTGTGATGTCTCTTGTTTAGCCTTGAATGTTACATTATCTGTGCTTAGTATCTAACATTTTTTTTTTGTGTTTTCGATGATGCCAAAAGAGGGAAGATAAGGTTGAAAGTTGTTGTGAACATACAAGTCTGTCAATAGTGCTTGTTGTGATCATCTGGTTCTTTGAGGTGATTATCTGGTTCTATTGTGGTTCTGTTGTACACAAATTTTGTTATCATCAAAAAGGAGGAATTTATTTAATATTGAAGTTTTGATGATTAACAAAGTATGACTAAATGTTCAAAGAACCAGGTCCTCAACGTAGCTGCTTAACTGTTCTGAAGAACCTGTTCCTCAGGAGAAAGAACCAGCTCCTCCTGAGTGATACTTGTACGTCTGTACAAGACAGTAACTTTATCTCAAAGTTACCCAGATCTGAGTTTAGTGAATGATGGCTACTATAAGTGATAAGGGTCGTTGCTCAAAATGATATAGATAATTCAGTGAGAGACTAAAGTCCCAAAGCGTGTGGAATCCTTGGAATAGTAGTAGTCCTATCAAAGAGGAAGCTGACTTTGAATAGGACTCCTAGAAGATCTCAAGTCGTGTTTAAATAGGATTTACTTTCGACTTCTAAACTATCCTTTTGCACATCAATTAAAGAGTCATAAGTTATTTACTTGTGTTGAGTACTTGAATTGTATTCTTTCCGAGTCAGTCTAGTGAATGTGTTTTAGGTAATTGAGTTGTAATCAAGTGTCATAAACAATCAGTGAGTTGGAGTGAGTATTTTGCTTTACAAGTTAGAGTAACTTGTGAATCAAATAGGAGTAGTAGGAGTACTGGAGAGCATTTAATTACAGTCTTGTAATTGATATATTTTGGCTCAGTGTTCTAGTGGAGTTGGAGCTGAAAATTTTACGTGGTAGGTCGTGGTTTTTGCACCTTTTGAGTCGGGTGATTTTCCACGTAAAAATTATTGTGTTCATTTTATTGTTATTTACTTTACGCTTAAAGAACACGTCAAAGAACCAACTTCTTTCGTAATTCTCACGGATACTCAAATTAACACGGTGCAAAGCCTAAAGAGAGACATGTTGTTTCTTGGTCTCAAGAGGTAACAATTACTGTTATTTTATTTATCTCTTTTATTTTTTGGTGTACTAATTCGGAATTGAGACGCCATTAATTGATTGATTGATTGATTTGCATTTGTGTTTCGGCATTTCTATTGATGTATTAATGATTTCCTGCATTGTTTGGAATTGCAGGAGGATGATATTCTACGAGAGCAAATTCGTGTCCGGGGAACTAACAAGTATATTTCTTACACTTTGGAGTTTAGTTTCAATATCCATAAAAGACCGTATTCTTAATATCTAATTAAATTTATGGAGTTATGGGATATGCCGTATGCGTATTCCTAGTCTGTACCAACAAGTTTGGGATTGAGGTTTAGTTGATTGATGGATCGATCGACTGATTGATATGGTTATATGGCTATTGTAGCTAAAGATTTTTGTTTCATGATACATTGCTGTAGTTGGACGATCATAGCTTCAAAATTCAAGGACAAAACTACCAGACAATGCAGGAGGTCAGTCCAAAATGTTTTTTTTTTGTCCTCCTTAAATTATAAGGGCGATCACTCTGTATTTGACTTCATTATACTTTGTTTTTACTTTTGGTAGCTAACTGATGGCGATAGTGTTTTAAAAATCTGCAGGTGCTTTACTTATTTTAACTATGATTTCAAGAAAGGTGGGTGGTCCCCTGAAGAAGATATGCTTTTATGTGAGGTAAAATGATGTTTTGATTGATTGATTCCTTTTTAATTTTTCATAATTGTTACTCGTTCGGTTCACGTGCTTTCCTTTTTAGTCTGCCGGTCTATCCGAAGAAGAATAATATCTTACTATATTTAGAAATAATTTAACTTTAAACTTCTCATTTTATGCTTAATGAGATGATTTATCGCCACACAATGTTTATGACTTGTTTTACACCACAAGTTTCAAAAGTCTTTCTTACTTAAACTTAGTATCCAGTCAAACACAGTCAACTAAATTGGGATGGGAGGAGTACTTATTTTAGCATTGTGGGCTTAAGCCGTGTTTCTGTTTTAACTGATCATGTCAGTTGATGTAATCGGACTTTGTTATATTACTTTTATTTTCCTCTTCAGGCCATTCTAGTTCTGATAACAAATTCTCTTGCCATTGCAATCTCGATATCTGATAGAAAAAGAGTGCTTGTGCCTTGTAGGCTCAGAAGAGTGCTTTTTGGAGAGTTCGTGCAACATAGGGAGTGTCCGCTTAACACAGGGAAGAGCCATTTCTCAGATGTCCTTGAAAAGCATACCATTATAGAAAACTCTGTTGATAATTTTCGGAATAAAAATCAACTGGTTAGACATCCATTTGCAGTGCTTGTGCAGAATTTCCATAATGCTGGAGGAAATACACTATCTCATCAGCATGTCAACAACATAAAAGAGACATCTATAAACGGTAACTAAGCAAATTCAGTCTGTGGCTGTAAAGTTTGTGTACAAAAGGAACAGTACAAATATCAGATGAGAGAACAACACATCATTGATTACTTCAGAATATTCTGTATCTAACGAGCAAAACAAATTTGAAACTGGTTGTTTCTGGATTTTGAAGCAGCTAGTGATAACAAAAGTCAAGGAACATTCCTTAAGAGGAATGATCCAAAGCACTATGTGCTGATGCAACAAGCAGAACTACTGAGCTCACTGGCACTGAAAGTTAATTCGGAAAACAATGACCAAACTCTTGAATCTTGAAAATACTTGGAAGGTGAGGTCAACAATTGTTCCTCCTTTTTTGTATATGAACTTTATGTTTTTCTACTTTTGGAATATAGTGGAGAACCATTTATAGATCCTAAAGCTACTTTTTCCTCTATTCTTCTCCATACCATTTAGAACAAATGCATAATCTCTGTGGTTAATCTCTAGGTGTAACATTTTTTAAACGGAAAAGGGTCCAAACTACTTTTATTATTTGCTAAATGGTTTACAAACACCCTCCGTCCATCTACCAGTTTAAAAAAACACACGGCGTTAATTCTATTAACAAAAATACCCTTGCGTTTAACGGTAGAATTGGTGGGCCTTTCATTTAATGACGTGGCAGTTTTTTTACTGTGCTACGTGGCATTGTCGGCCAAAAATCAAACATGGGTCTTATTTCTACCCATTTACATGATCCGCCCCTATAGGTCAGCCCCC